AGGTTCTGGAATCTTTAGGAGATAGAACCTCATTGAAGGAAGTGGGTTGCTGGAGGTGGGACTTTTGAGGCTTTATAACCTGACTCCACTTCCTGTTTCTACTCTGTTTCCTGAGTATGCAAAGTGACCAGTTAGTTTGCTTCCTACTCCTTCAGCCGTGCCTTCCTCGTCGTGATGGAACGTATGCCCTTGAACTGTGAGCCACAACAGACCCTCCCTTCCTTAAGTCGCTTCTCATCATGTGTTTTTTGAAAAAAGTAATGAATTCGATACTCAACACTGCCTCTCGGAATAAGCTTTCTTCTTACGTACACAGAAACTAAGACTTGGCAGAGCAAAGTAGCATGCTCAGCTGTCTTAGTCAGGATTAATAGCTCAACCTGTAGCTCCCAGTTGTACCTTCCTTTGGAACTCACTGGTTGTGAGAATTAAGACAGTTTAATTTGGAATCTTATATACACTAGTCAGTATTTCCTGTTTGATATTAACTCGTTCATCATTAATTTGTCAGGAGCGCTTACCACAGGTCTTTAGAAGCTCCCACATCACCTTTTCCCTTTTCCTTTCCCATCCCTCCCTTGGAGGCTATCAGTTTATTTCCAATCAGTATCACTTAGACAGGAATCTGGGCTCTTTTTCAGTAAGTAACAGAACCTCCTGAAGGACCACCCCCCCACACACCCCACCCCATCCCCACTAAAATATCCTATGGCTCAGGAGATCCGGCCTTTCTAAAAAAGGGTTTTCACCATGTGGAGGTTTCAATGACCCTCATCTTTGAGGTCTACCTGAGGTCACCTGACCCATGCAGCTCAAATCGATCTGCCTACCTTATAACACAGGCTGAGGAAGATCTGGGTTCACCATGGTGTATCACCTAATTCATTATACCACTGGAGGTCATAAATCACAGGACTCTATTTCCTTTATTCCTTTCCACCAAAAGAGTGCTTATACAAAATGTATTTACACACCATGGTTAGTCAATTAATCTTTTCACTACACTTGCCAGAAGCATCATTAGGATTTCCGAGGCAGCTCTGTGCGTTTGCATTAGAAACGATGGTGGCTCACTATGCTTCATTTAGTCACTGTGGTCCATTTGGGGGTCCTGTCTAGTCATATGTAAACTAGAGGCTTTCTGCTCAAGGACATGTAAGATCTTGTCATGTATTTAGGAAAACCACAGAGGCATGAACAGCTGTGTATTTGTCTCATTCAACATACACTGTTGTAAATATTTAATCTCAATCAGGGTTTCTACCCCACCTTAACTCATTAAGTTCCCAGATAAAAGACAAACCTTTTGTATTTATAATAAGCCTTAATCAGCACTAGATACAGAGGACAGATATCTACCCTCTAAGCTATTAAGATCTACTTCCCCATCAACAACCCTGAGATATGACTGGCCATGTTCCACCTGGGCCACTCCACCGGCCAGCCCTCAAGGCCAGTTCTCATGATACCTTTCTGCGTGACATCTTCTTCTCTCTCCACCTTCTGCTTCTTCTCCTCATATGGTCCTAACTTCCAATCCCAAGTGCAGGGAACCAAAACTCCACCTACCTCTCTTCTGCCCAGCTATAGACTTAGGCATCTCTATTCAACCAATAGTTTTAAATCAAGGAACAAAGTTACATGGCATCACTTGAGGGCCAATATTTAACATTACAATACATAGCAATAAACCAAATCTCAACAATATATAACAACATGCACACACAGGCAATCATAAACACATGCACACAGGTATAATCACACACACACACACAATCACACAAACATATACATGCACAACCACACACAATCCCATATGCATACACAATCATACATACAAAAGCACAGATATATGTTTATCTACACAAAATTCCCATGAAAGAGTCTAGTTTCATTGCCAATATTACAGTTTGCATCAGAGGCCCAATATGTGTTCTCTGGACATCCTCAGTTTCATGAAAGAAGAAAACAAACAGTCTGCCCATCCTTTTTTAAATACCAGAAACATAATTTTCATGCATTCAAACTCGGTATTTGTGCTGGATCCTAGAAACATGATTCTGAGAGGAAAAGGTAAAAAGATAGGCTTGATTACAATTAAGCTCCACTTTCTGTGTTTCCATTGTGAGCCTGTAACTCGACCTCTCTGGTCCCAGACCACAAAGTGATTGTCAGAACATCCACTCCCTCCTAACACAACACCCACTCCTGCCCAACCCTCCAGTCTATTCCAACTAATAACACAGAGGAGGTAGCTGACACTGGCTTAATGTTAGGGAGTTTGTAAACTGTAGAGCTTGTGAATTTCTGGGTCACTCTGGAAAAGGGAGAATGATTCTTTTTCTTTTTCTTTTTTTTATGGTCACAATCCAGGGTCAGTTTATCACATTCCATAACTCTTAAAAAGGATTGTCCTTTAACCAAGGAAATAGCATGTTTATATCACCAGCTGTTGGACTTGCAATGAGATTCTGCGGTTCCAGCATCAACGAAAAAGGAGCTGAAGTGAGAGGTATAGAAAATCAATTCATCTGTTTCCCAACCTAACCATTCAGAAGCTGACACCAGGAGCCGAGAGTTATCCAGTCAAATAGCATATGCTTATACACAACCTCAAAACCGCCAAGATCAGCCTCTGTAGATTCCAAACACCAATTTCAGCTCCAAGTCAGGCCCCCTCGTCCTCTGCACTCATGGTGCTACTCTGAATACTTTTCACCTGTGTTTGGAGTAAAGAGAGATTAACATGAGGGTGATGTAGTTGAATGGTTTTGTGGCATAAATACAAACATGAAACAACAAAAATTTTAGCCTAAAGGCATGACATCTAATTTGTCTCTTACACTGAGAATTCTGGAAGAGGGTGGTGTGACATTAATATAACAATTCAGTGATTGCTGTGCAGAAACCAGAAGTGGTGTACAGATAAACATTTAACCCTTATTCTGACAGATTGCAGAGCCCAGAAGAAGCCCTCATGCCATATCATGACAAACTATGTCCAAGCCACTCAGGATGGTTCACAGCTGTAATCCTAGAACTCAAGAGACTAAGGGAGGGCTATTGCTTTGAGTCTAGGATCATGTTGGATTATCGTGAATTCTAGACTAAGTTAGGCTACACCATGCAATCAAGAAAATAAAAGATAGGGCTAGTGAGATGACTCTCTCCATAAAGGTACTTGCTGCTGAGACTGATGGCCTGAGGTTAGTCACCAGAACCCTTACAATGAAAGGAGAAAACTGGATCACTCCAGTTATTCTCTAATGTCCACACAAGTTCCAAGGCCATGCTCATGCGCGCGCACACACACACACACACATACACACACACAAAGTGCACACAATAAGCAAATAGATACATAAATTTAATTTAAAAATTTAAGATTTATTTATTTCATGTAGAGTGCTCTATCTGTATGTACACGTGCATGCCAAAAGAGGACATCAGATCCCAAGATAGATAGTCATGAGCCACCATGTGGTTGCTGGGAATTGAACTCAAGACTTCTTAACCACTGAGTCATCTCACCTGCCCCTTAATAAAAAGAAATTGAAAGACAAAACTAAGTGAATAACTAACAAACAAATTACTTCTCCATAAATAAAATAATGGAAATAACCTCTGGAACATTAGATAACAATGAAGTGGTACCAAATAACCAAGAAGATAGGAATTTGGAGTATTGTCTTTGTTTTGCTACTATGTAACTGCAGACATAAATCAAATAATTTTAGTAGTGGCTGTGCATGAGAGTAGGCATGCAGAATTCCTTAAAACTTAATAGCTGAATCCTTTTCGAAAATATTTTTAGCTATGTGTACATGAGTATAAGTGCCCACAGAGGTTAAAGACAGCCATTGGATCTCCCACAGCGGGAGTCATAGGTGGTTGTAAGCGACTTATCATAGGTGCTGGGGATAGAACTCGGGTCCTCCAGAAAAGCAGTGTATGTTCATAACCACTGGGACATCTCTCCAATGGTTAACAGCCGATGTTTATACATCAGCTACATCAGCACAAATAGTTTCCAAAGCATCACTGAACACAGGCTCTGGTTCTTCTATTCTACCACCCTTAGAGGATACACATGTGCTTCATGGTCACAGGATGGTCACTGACTTAAGAACTTCAGATATTATTTAGTTTTCTTTTCACTGTGACCAAATACCTAACAAGAAATAATTTAAAGGAAGAAGGGTCTATCTGGGCTCAAGGTTTGAGTCATTATAGTCTATCAGATCTGGGAAGGCATGGAAACAGAAGGAACATGAAGCTAGTTACTTAATCCTCATTCCTAAGAAAACTACAAATCAAAAAGAAGGTAGGAACTGGGGCAGGACTACGATCCTCAAGCACCTTTTCTTTCATCATCAACATACTTCCCAGAAACACCCCACAGCCTCTTAAAATACCACTAGCTAAGCCAAAATTCTCAAATACATGATCCCATGGTGTGGTGGTTTGAATATGTTTGGTTCATGGGAAGTGGCACTATTAGGAAGTGTGGCCTTGTTGGAGTAGGTGTGGCCTTGGAGGAATTCCATCACTGTGGGGGTAGGCTTTGAGGACCTATGCTCAAGCGCCACTCAGTACAGAAGAGACCCTCATGCTGTCTGCCTGCAGAAGCGAGTCTTCTGGTTGCCTTCAGATCAAAATGTAGGACTCTCTATATTCTCCAGTTCCATGTTTGCCTGCACACTGTCATGCTTCCCACCATGAAGATAACAGACTGAATAACGGAAACTGTAATCCAGTCCCAATTAAATGTTTTCCTTCATAAGACTTGCCTTGGTCATGGTGTCTCTTCACACCAATGGAAACCCTAACTAAGACACATGGGATATATTGCACATTGAAATCATAGCAGCTCATATACACATGCCAGGTTGAAAGAGAACAACAACAACAACAAAAAGCTAAGTGGGTGTCTTAGTGTATTTTCTGTTGCTGTTAACAGAATTTCACAAGCTGAGTAGTTTGTAAAGAATAAATGTCTATCCTCCTGGCCAAGGGCAAAGAGATACCTTGTTGGTGGTGGTGTTCTTAGTCAGGGGCAGAACAGATGGCAGTTCTTTGTTAATCTTAGCTTGATGCCTGGTTTGGTGGCCAAAGATGTTTTATGCCTAGGACACACAAAAACCAAATCAAATCAAATCTAGGCAGTGCAGCACAGGAGGAGGAAGACAGAGATTTGTGTTCCGTCATGTCACGTGGTGCAAACAGCAAGATGCCCACAGGCATAAGTGAGCCGTAAACACACAGAGCCCTGCCTACCATCATGCATTGCAATGTGGATGAGGAAGACAGACTAAGACCTGCAAACCACTATACCACCCACAGACCTGCCTTCTAGGCTGTCATCCATGTGGCCAGGCTGCAGTGTAAACCAACACAAAGTGTGAATATGTGGTGGATAGACGGGAGAGGAAGAGAAGTGGAACAGCTTGAGCATCATGAAGAGGGATGGAACTGGAGACTCAAGGGTAGAGAGGGGGAGCCTGTTGTGAATGGCTGGCTCCACCACCTGGGGCCATGATGAGGGCCCAGCCCAGGCTGCTGCTGAGGGCCATAGGCAGAGATCTGTGTCCATGTCCATGGCTAATATTACTGCTAGAGAGCATGGGGATGTCCGTCATTGTGGCTACTGCAGGGGACCACATGGAATAATCATTGTGGCTACTGCAGGGGACCACATGGATATTCCAGGGAGCTCTGCAGTGCTGGTCCGGCTCTTCACTGGCTGTGACACTCTAGAGAGCTGGTCTCACTTCTCCCCAGCAGCAACACTGGGTAGAATGGGAGAATAGTCCCTGTTCCTGCTCCTCACCCAGGCAGCACAGTGGAGCTGGTTTTCCTGGCAGGGGTGTGGGTGAGCCATCCTTAAAGGTGTGAGTGTGGGTGAGCCATCCTTAAAGGTGTGAGTGTGGGAGAGCAGACACCATCCCTCGTCTCCTACAGGGTAGCACAGGAGCAGAGAGGATGCCTCACTCCACCTTCAGTGGTCAGAGAAGCTGCCCACAGGGTGAGCACTAGAGTGCTATCTCTGTCTCTCACCAACTATGGCACTCTGGAGAGTGGGGCCTAAACCTCACAGACCCTGGTGAGCCAGAGTGTGAGAGAATGGGAGAGCTAGCCCATCCTCTCTCCTGCTGTGAGATGGTGTAGGTATGTCAGGGTAGAGGGTGATGTCCATGCCCTCCTTATCACCTATGGCAGTCAGGAGAGCTGGCCCTAGAGTCATGATAGCAAGTGAGCTGGCCCTGATGACAAAGGTGTGATGAACCAGCCCCAAGGGTTTGAAAGTGAGAGAGCTGGCCCAGCCCATCACTGGCTGAAGTACTTGGGAGAGTGGGCCCCCACACCGTGACTGGGCAGCACAGTGGAGGAGCCATGAAAACAGGAGAGCTGACCCTGCCTCGTGCCAATGGCATCATTGGATGGCCTAGCTGGAGCAGTGCTGGAGAGCTCACCCTGGTTGTGTAGGTAAGGGAGAGCTTGCTCTACTGAGCAGTTCAGCTACCACCCAGGCCCAGATCCAGGGCTGTGAGTGAACCCATCTCAAAATCGATATCATCTGTAAGTAGTTGGAACATTTGACAGGGCCAGTCCTGATGATCCAAAGCTGCAGGATCTCCATGATATGGAGCAACAATAGGATAACCTAGAGGAGGACCAGTGAAGATCCAATACCAATGGTGTTAACAGACACTGGAGATCTTAAACCAGACCAATGACTCGTTGCAATGAACATTTGCAAGAGAAGCTGTGTGGGCAGAGGCATAGACTGTGGGACACACTGTGACACACTATAGTTTCCACAATGAGATGTTTTCTATGCTTTGGTATGTGTGTGGAAGGGTGTGTGTGGGGGGTGTTATTTGGGGGGAAAAGTTGAAAGGATGAAGGGCAGATATGAGGGGATGGGGAGGTGAGTAGTACCAGGGTGCATGGTATGAAACACAAAGAATCAATAATTTTTTAAATTGTCTATTTGTCTCTTGTTTCTAAGGAATGGGAACTCCAATGACTCAGCGATGGCATCTTCTTCCATTCTTTGGGGGGCTTTATAACATGACAGGAGGCAACAAGGTAAATGTCTAAGTTTCTTTTCCAGTCACTGTGATACAACACCCTGACAAAAGCAACTTAAGGGAGAAAGGTTCACAGTCACAGGTTACAGTCCACCTTGGTGGAGAAGTCAAAGAATCAGAGATTGAAGCAGGTGGAAACATTCCCTACGCAGTCAGAAGAGAGCGATGAACAACGTGTGTGTGATAGCGTCCAGACCAGCTTGCTTCTCCTGCCAACAGTGAAGATGAGTCTCCTCATACCGTTTACCACAATCAAGACAATCCCCTGTCAGCATAACCAGGCAGCATTCACCTACTCATTCAGATGGAGTTTTCACAACCTAAACATCTCCCAATGGACCTCATCTTTCAACATCCCACATTAGGGAATCACGCTTTCAACATTTAGAAATTACAGGGAATGCATTAAATCATGTTCTCAAACAATAATTTCTTCTTAAATCATAGAAATTACAACTCACAGGCCAGAGTTATGGTGCCTGTGCTTAAGCTGAAGATGGCTAGGCAGAAGAGGATCATGGGTCAAGGATGCAGGCTGAGTTGACCGACTAAATGAGACTGCTGTAAGTGTCAGAATGTATTTATGGAGCTCAGACATTCATGACCAGAATCCGCATAACAAGGGGTAGATGAAAAGACAGGGGTTCAAAACTCAGGGCTTAGCCTTGATAATCCTTTCTAGTTAAAACAAGTATACGTAGAATTCCTTTTTGAACTATATTTTTAATTTATTTCTTGAAATGTTATATGTGTGCACATTGTATTTTGATCTTATCTACACCCACACCCCTACTACCTCCCTTTAATCCCACTTGGGCCCTTACAATGGCTACAGAAATGAACAGAGAGTTGTCAAAACAAATACATTCCTTTAACGCCACACAGAGAGTCAAGTGTACGCTCAGAAGTTGGATAGCAGAGAGATCATCGTGGGTTGCGGTGGTCCTTTTATTTCTGTTTTAAAGTGTGTAGTAAGTACACTTTGTCCCATCTGTTTAGTTGGGGGAGGGCATATACAAAAGCATCCATGCATATAGAAGTCAGAGGACTTCTGTGAGACAGCCTGCTCCTCCATGTGGGTAATATAATTGAACTCAGATTGTAGGGTTTTGCAGCAATCCTTTACCAGCTAAGCTGTCTCTCCAGCCCTCCATTCATTTATGTTTGTTTTTGTTTAAGACAAGGTCTCTTTATGTAACTTAGGTCAGTCATGAATTCTTGATTCTTTTGCTTCAGTCTCCTGAATGCTGAGATTTCAGGCATGTGCCACCCTATTTTGCCTTGGTGACTCATTTCACCAGAATAGAAGTCCATTCCAACAAGCCACTGCTAATGAGTTTATAAATTCTCCCTGGTTTCAATCAGAGGCCAAAGGCCAACCTCAGATCTCATTCTTCAGGCATGAGCCTTTCCACATGATTGTTATGAGATGCGGTCTCTCACTGGCCTTGAGCTCGCCAAGTAGGTGAGGCTGGACCCCAAGACTCAAGATCTACCTGCCTCTGTCTCCCCAGCATTAGGAACATAAGGGTGTACCACCACACTCAGCTGTTTTAACATGTGTTTCAGGAATTAAGCTTGGGTCCACTTTATTGCATGGCAAGCACGTTACCAACTGAGTTACCTCCCCATTGTTTAGTGTTCCATTTTCAAACCTTCTACCAAAGAAAGCTCGCTATCACAATGCTTCAAATCAGCACGTCGTTACTAGAATGTCTGTCATTTGCAAGCTTGAAATCATATTTCTTTACATTGAACTCTCTCCTGAACCTGGGCAGGATAGGAAATCCTCACACTTAGTGTGAACACTCGGCTTTAAGTTGCTGAGATATACAGTCTGTGGAGGCTATTGAATCAGGCCATCAATTTTTTCCTGCTATAAAAGGTTACTCTCTCCCTGCCTTTCAGTTTTGCCCTTTCAGCTCTGCACAGGTCACCACTGAATTTCTGCCTTTAAAAAAATTTAGCATAATGGCTTGTCTGGCACAATGATAGGTCTGGAAAGTTCAGAGAAAACCTTGCTGCAAGGTCCTTTAGGACCCATGATAGACAAAGAACAACTTCCTCCTTTCGCTGGTAACTAGAAACGTTTCTTTCCTCCACCCCCTGCCTCTGTCTCCACATGACCCAATTTGTCCAGTATACAAATTATGTATGAATCAGCTGTTGCTGCATAACAAATATTCCCAAAGTATATACTGGATTGCAGCAAGCATTTATTTCTCTTTTTTTCCCCCCTAGGTGCTAGGTTAGTGGACTCTTAAGACAAAAGGCCCAACTCAAGAAGCCCTAGCAAGCTAAACTCAACCACCTGGGCCAATATGCCAAATGAAGAGATAAAAATGGCAGGAAAACTAATCAGTCAGTTGAGCACTTGCTTCATAACCCTGAGGACCTGAGTTTGACTACCGCCCAGGACCCCTGTTAAAACACAAACAAAGCAATTTTGTAATAACATGTACCTATAACCTCAGTGCTGGGAAGAAAGAAATCAGAAGGAAGCTTGGGTTCCCTGACCAGCCAGTCTAGCTGAATCAGCAAGTTCTGGGTTCAGTGAGAGACCTTGTCTCAAAAAAACAAGACAGAGGGGATAAGGAAACGGCTCAGTGGTTAAGAGGATGGCTCTTCCAGAAGATCTGGGTTCAATTGCCAGCACCCAAAGAGCAGCTTACAGCTATCTATAACTCCAGTTCCAGGGGACTTGATACCCTCATATAGACATACATACAGGCAAAACACCAATGCACATATAAATAAGTAAATAAATAAATAAGTAAATAAATAAATAAATAAATACCTCACACAGACATGTAGACAGGCAAAACACCAGAGAAAGAAAGAAAGAAGGAAGGAAGGAAAGAAAGGAAGGAAGAAGGAAGGAAAGAAAGAAAGAAAGGAAGAGAGAGAGAGAGAGAGAGAGAGAGAGAGAGCTCACACAGACATACATGCAGGCAAAGCATAAATAAATAAATAAATAAATAAATAAATAAATAAATAAATAAGAGAAGTTGAGAAAGACACATGGCATTCACCTCTGCCTTCCCT